ACCTGGTGACTTGAAAGGTTCAAAGGAGTCAATCGCCCATTCAACTTTTCTTTCAGTATGGATTTTGTTGACCAAAGTGCAAGCATCAGCTCTTGTTCTGTCTAACTCAGTCGTTTTATTCAATATTTCATGAATATCCGTCCTGGTTTCATCGATACCAATTGCTGTTGTCGTTACGTTTTGGTCTTCGTTTGAATTAATAATAGAACATAGAAAATGCGTTCTCATCATCAACTCTAACGTTTCATTTGTAAAAGTAGTAAAAGAGCCATCCTCTTTTTTCAAAGTGCTCAGACCATTGGAATGATCTTTAGCGAGTATTTTCTGCAACCTAGCAGTTGCTGGAGTATTTTCAATGTGCTCACATGTATGCCTCCAGTGTATCCTCTTTGATCTCCGTATTTCCTTATTATAAGTGGTGAGGGATTTCTTATATTGTTCCCACTGTTGTGTTCGTTTAGCCCTATTGAAAAGCTTCCGGGCTTTTTTACGAAGTTTCTGTACTGTAGTGTACGGTTGGTAGTGTAGTACAATGAAATAAACATTTAACAAAATACTTTCAATTGTTGACAACTACTCGCAATATAAATTTAATTTATTAGCAATATGAACATATTTAGTGTTACTGCAATAAGTTGACCCCAGTCTGTCTGTAAATGCATAATACATTTATGCGTTATAATAATTTGTAACAATGAAAAACATTTTGAATGATCGGATAGAGCAACAATCAATTACTCGTCATCAATCACTACTATTTCCGGTTTGTCCTCCAACCAACTGCACTGTTTTTTTGTAATGAGATTGTGACAATCATCATCCATTTTAACTTGCTCCTGTACTCATTTCATTTTATCCTATGGGGTGCAAAAATATGGGGCAAGTTGAAATGCTTTAAATATTTCGGAAAATTAGTGTGACCGAAATTTTGTGTGCAATCACTCTAACTGGCCTTCATATGTACATCACTGGATTAAATTATACAAAATTCATCTTTTTGGGAAGATAACTACTTCCAACTACTTGTTTTAACAGTAAAAAAAAATGCATATAGGTGCTTATTACACTGCGTAGTTCCACGCCAAATGACGAATCGATCAGACGCGACCTTCTCCGATTTGAATGAAACTTTTCATAATTGTTTGTTATGGTCAATCATGTGCATTTGAGCTAAAATTTGGCGATTTTGAATCTTGTAAAAAAAACTTCAAAATGGCGTATTCAAAACTTTGCAATAAACCATAACACGAAATCGTTATTTCCAATCAAAATGACGTCTGAGACAAAATTGTAGGAAAAAAAATGCTTTTCAGAAAAAATATAAAAGATTCACCAAACTAATGTAACTTTTGGTACAAATCCATAAAAGTGTTAAAAACTTTAATAACAGAAAATGACCCTCTTCAATATTTTTGAACCATTTTTATTAAAAAGCATACTCAAAGTTCTATTGTATTGTGAAATTTTCAAGTTGAACACTTAAAAATTGACAAAAGTCATGGCATAAATTTAAGACTTGTTGTTTATATGTACTAGTTTTTGTAAGTTTTTTCACAGAAAACAATTTATTAGGTCTAAGCAATCAAATTGTGTGCAACAACATACCAACAAATCGTTTTAACAAAAAGTTAAAACATTTGACTAGAAGTTCTTGTTCTATGATATTTATCAATTTTTAAGTGTGCATTATGAAAAATTCTATTTTTTGTGAAATTTTCATGTTGGACACTTAAAAATTGATAAAAATCATAGAACAACAACTGTTAATCAAATATTTTAACTTTTTGTTTAGACGATTTTTTGGTATATAGTTGAACACAATTTAATTCTTTGGACCTAATAAATTGTTTTCTGTGAGAAAACTTGCAAAAAGTTGTATAAACAAAAAGTTTTAAAGTTTTTCCATGATTTTTGTCAATTTTTAAGTGTCCAACTTGAAAATTTCACAAAAAATAGAACTTTGAGTATGCTTTTTAATAAAAATGGTTCGAAAATATTAAAGAGGGTCATTTCTGTTATTAATGTTTTTAACACTTTTTAGATTTTTTACCAAAAATTTCGTAAATTTTTGTACCATTTATATTTTTTCTGAAAAGCATTTATTTCTTCCTACAACATTGTTTCAGATGTCATTTCGATTTGTTGTGGCGTTTTCGTGGATTTATTGAAATATTTTAAATACGCCATTTTGAAACTTTTTGCATGATTCAAAATGGCTTAATTTTAGCTGAAAAGTGAATGATTTACCATACAAGGCAACTATTTATATAAAGTTTTATGCAAATCGGAGAAGGTCGAGTCTGAAAATCATTTTTTTTTTTGCTATTTGGCCTGGAACTACTCTGTTCAATCACAGTGATATCACACTTCTACTAATAGTTACGCCTTTCTTTTCAACTTACCCCGGTGTACCTTATTCAAGCATAAAAAATTATAAGAAAAAATGTTTCACCCTGGCAATGGTTTTCCGGATTTTCCATGCGGGTTTTTCGTGGATTGCTGAGATGATTTACTTATGCCACGGATACACTTGTATGAGAATCTATGAGCATAAGCATTATTTGTATAATAATTATGAGCACTTAGCATAAACTAGTAATCCTGACCAAGATTACCAATAGATTTTTTTTTCAAAAACGATTTTTTTTAAGTCAATTTTTGAACCGCACGGCCGATTCCAAAGATCAAAATATAAAATGAAAGGTAATTAAAAATGCTTCTTAGGAGAAATATGTTGATAATACTCTACTTGTCTTTTTTGATTTATGTTAGCTTTGTATCAATGGAGACGTATGGTAGTCTAGTCGCTAAGGAGTATTGAGTAAAAACCCAAAACTTGATAACTGATAACATCGCTGATTTTTTTAAATTTTGTGTAAAAAAGAGAGAATATCTATTCGTATTACTATGTCCTAAGGATTTCCTATATACATGGAACTGTTATGCGAATAGCGTTGGTATCCACAACCTATTTCCACTTATCTCCAACTCTTCCTGGGTCTCTCCTTAAATGATACTGCAAAATAATTTGAATATCCAGCTAATTTGTCAAATCTTACTTAAGGCTCACGCACATTTGTTTCGTTTGCGAAGCGTTGATGCAAATTTGATAGTTAGACAATAGATTGAGCTTTTATTTTGCAGGAACGTATTACAACCGGATCAAATGTGCGTGACACTTTATGCATTGTGCGCCGGCCTTCAACCGTTTGCACTAAGCGAAATGGAATCCTTTTAGATGAATTGGAACAGCATTTCGCTGCTGACCTTATATTTTATTCTAACTGCATAATACTCCAGATAGTGATCATTTGAATTTCATAGACTTAACAACTAATCAATAATCCAAAAAGGCCAATAATTCGGTCAGCGTCGCATCCTGATTTATCCAAAACTGAATTGAGGCACACCAAATTTTATGCAATTCAACTGTTTATTCCTGTGGTAATGTTTCCTCATAATGTTCAATGATTGGGATATTTTGTGGTTTTGTTCTTGATCTCTCAATGAAAATGTTCTATTCGGAATAAATTTGTAGATGGAAGCATCACAATAGTAAGCGGCTAAATACATAAAAAACTGTTCTAATAAAACCACGTAGACAGGACCTTCACCCCTCCCCCCCCCCCGTAGACAAACGTAGACAATGATGAGCAGAAGTAAGCGGGCAGATTCGTATTGCCTTCGATTAACAACACCGCCGTGATGTGTTCCCTGAGAGCATTCAAATTCTTAATAGAGAGCAAAGTACTGTTTGTTAATAACAACACGCGCACGCACAATCATGGCCGTCGCCAACTGTTTTGACATGCTACGAAAGTTATCCTGTTCATCAAATTGCCGTTACATTCATGTAAAATTAAATCGTTAATGATTGAAAAAACATCGTGCCACGTAATTTACTATTATTAAGAATGAGTACTTCTATGAAATTAAAAATTAAAATTTCACCCGTAACCTAGAATCACCATAATGCATGTAAAATTAAAGGACCACTGAATTTTACACACCACTGCAGACTCATGTAACTGTACACAATAATTTAAAGGGGCATGTACTTTTCAGAACATACGTAATTTTACGTTATATATCATGCAGTCTTTTTGTTACATTTAGTTCAACGTAAAATAAAACGTTTTGTTTGAATTGTGCACCTGAAAACGATGATGAGAAACTAGAAGCACCGACGAACCGATATGCCACAGGAGCATTTCGTTTGTCCACAATTCGAATTGTCAAACGAGCGATTCGAACTTTCAAACGGGCGATCAGATCTGTCAAACGAGGTGAGACGCAAGCCAAGGCAATATAAATTATACGTGGGCTCGTGTCCTTGCTATGACGTGATTGGATGAGTAGATGTCGGTACTGTTTAACGTATTTTAAATATGGCGTCTTCGGCACGAATTTGAAAATAGCTTGTATGAGCTGTAACGTCGGTTCGTCGGTGCTAGAAGTACATGTTGTAATTATGCTAGGTTGACCGGAAACGAGAAATGAGCTGTTGCCGGAATTGCCGAAATATTGGTGTTTTCGTGACGAAATGGTAGTCTACGACGGACTGACATTCAAGTCAAATCAAGTACTAATCCAACTTCTGACACCATGTAAGATGTTGACAAGTGAACAAGCTAACTAAATCTTTTATTACAAGATCGTATGTGATACAAGATAGGTTTTCAACAAGGTCAAAATACAACTGGTATGATACTACAATAAGATCGTTAGTGTAGGTAGGCCTATACGTTACAGTGTCCAGTCTACTCGATCCATGGCCACACATCGCCAGCCTCGTAGTCTGCGAAGGGTCTGCATTTGTGGATTCTGTCAATCTGGTCCTTTCAAACGCTTTGGATTTTCTTTCATTTGAATTTGAATGCAACTTTTTTAATTCAATCGGGACTAGTTTGAGTTAACTACACTCTAATTTTATTTTTGTTTCGAAAATATTTCATCATATGTAGTTCGATGCGGATTCGTTAATTGTTAAGCTTCACTAAATATCTAATCTTGCAACCTCAGAATGTCCTCCAGATCGTCTTTGGGAATGTCTTTATCACCAAAACCCCATACGGGATCTTTATGGGCGTACTCGTCGGTCAGGAAGCGCGTTCCATCACCGTACTTGGCTGCCCTTCGTTCAATGATTTGCGGAGGAACTGATTTACCTAAAAGTACATCGATTATTGCAAATTTGCTGGCTTCACAGTAGGATGATAGGCCATATCTGTTATACTTACGATCATAAGCCCACCCAAGCCGGGCAAAGCCATCGATGATACCGGTCGTTACATTGAACACATAACTGCCCAGTTCACCCGTTTTGTAATCCCACGGGAACACGTGATGGTAGTTGTGCCATCCTTCTCCCATGGCAGCGATTGCGACGGCCAGGTTTTCCACGGGACTGATGTTCCTGTAATTGCCATTTTGAAAATTAATAACTTATATTAAACGAAACCCAAGCATGAAGAGCTTACTTATCATACGGACGATTGCCGAACATGTGCGCTACGCTGTTGACAAAGAAGGCAATGTTGAGGGTGGTTGTGAAGCGCATTGTGAAGCACACCCAGAATGCTACCCATAGGTTTTCGGACCAGTAGTAGTACGGAATCAGGACGGGTAGGCCGACGACTAGGAGAGCGAACAGAGGAATGTAATATCTGGAAAGAGCAACAAATATGTTTAGCATTAGCAAGGAATCAAAAATATCTCCAAATGTTCAAAGTGTTCATACGCGAAGTTAGCGATTTTCAGAATTGGTTGGAAATGCTAACATGAAGCTATAGTGTGATAATTTATTAGCTAGAGAATGATCTTTTGAAGAGGGTGGTGGATAGTTTCGTTAGAGTACGGCAGTATGAAAATTGAATAGAAGTTGAAAATGAGCGAAGGGCCATTAATGCGACAGTTTTTAAGGTCAGATGCACATCTTTTGCCTAACCCGTACGATGTACGCGGAGACTTGAAGTATGTCTTCAAGTCTACAGGCCTGTGCCATTGGAGTCAAGCACCGTGTAAATCACGAAAACCCGTTTAAAAAAAAACCGCGTAAAAAAACGACCAAGGAAACGACCAAATTGTTAGCAAGCTGTTTCACGAAGTGAAGCCGAAGATGATACACGTGTGCTAAGCTGGGTTTAGACAGAACAAATGAATTGATCACGTCAGTTGAATTCAACTGACTTGAACGCGAATTGAACGTGTAAACCATGCCATTCAATTGACTTGATCAACTCGCTTGAATTGAAAAAAGTTGAACCAAGCTCAATTTTTCAAGCCAATTGAATTCAACTGGGTTGATCATTTGACTTGCCTAGTCTAAACCCAGCTTTAATGAGATGTTGTCCCGATTCAGATCAAGCTCAGTCCTCAACCCTGTATATTTCAACAAAGCAGGTAAGCAAAACGTCATTATCCTTCTACCACTCCGATCGAGCTTTGTTGCAGAGAGTTTGTCGTGGTAGTCGTAGTAAGCGTTTTGTCTGTAGGTATCGTTGGTTGCTTTATGTGTTTGGATTCAATGAGCATTAGGGTAGGAACTACTTCGGCCTAATCACCTATTTAGGGTCTATCGAGCAGAAAACATCAAATAATTCCATGATTTCGGCGTTCACATGTCAATTTTCCGTTTGGTACGATACTTTACTCCAAAATCTACCGAACTATGTTTGCTCCATTATTCTCAAAAGCAAAATAAGCGCTCAGACTGAATCAATTCTTATATTTCAGGCATAATATTTGATAACGGCACAAAAGCATTTGTAAATAAACTTTCTAAGGCCCTTTACACGCGAACCAAAGTACGCCCAAGCAAACCAATATCACTCTCGGAAAGGTGATAGTTGCATCTATCCGATGATGTTGTTAGTTTGCGTGGGCGTACTTTGGTTCGCGTTTAAAGGGCCTTAGAAAGTTTGTTTACAAATGCTTTTGTGCTGTTATCAAATGTTATGCCTGATTTATTCGATAGCCCGGAGTGAATTCAATGGCGGTTCACTGCGTTAGGCCGTATTTAGAATCCACTGTGTTAGGCCGTATTTAGGTCGAGTTTAGGGCCAAGAAGCAGTGTTAGATTTTTAACAATATATCAGCAATTTGTCACTCTTTATAAAACCTTACGGTACGTACGGAAAGGTAATTAAATTTAGAAGGCATTTGTAGTGTAAATTTTCCATTTTGTGAAAAAAAAATCTGTTCAAAAAATAGATGCAAATGGCAGATTGTGCTTAGTTGGCCAAAAATTGAATCTAAGCCCTAGTAAAGTTTAAGGGGCCGCCCTTAACCCAGTCGGTAAAAGTGCAGTTATAAAACAAGACCTAAAGGGTGTCCAAGATGAAATTGCCACACTATGAAATTGCTCTAACTTTTTAACCGTTGGGTAGAATTTAATGAAAATTTGAGTGGATTTAGTTCATAGTGCATTATTTACATCCTGCAAGTTTTAAAGTCCTGTGATCAAAACTCGCGGAAATGGAGTTGAAAGAACAGCCCGTGCGTGATAAAATCTTGCGCATTCATCACGAGAACAAGGATCTCTCGCATCGTTCCATCGCTAAAACGTTGGGAATCGCGAATTCCACGGTGTCGCGAGTGATTAAGCGGTTCGAGGAACGGTTGACCACCGATCGGAAGCCCAGAAGTGAAGGAAAAAGTATTCCGTACAACACCAAAAATCACAACCGCGTAGTTGAGGCCTTCAACCGAAATCCGAACGCCTCCGTTAGGGATGTGGCTAAGAAGCTGCACCTAAGCCGAAGTTTTGTCCAGAAGGCCAAAACTAAGGCTGGGCTTCGAACGTTCAAGGTACAAAAGGCCCCTAATCGCGACGAGAAGCAGAACAAGTGTGCCAAAACCCGTGCCAGGAAGTTGTACCTCAACATGCTGACGAAAGTTGAATGCTGCATCATGGACGACGAAACATATGTGAAGGCCGACTTCAAACAGATCCCCGGCAACCTGTTTTTCACGGCCAAGGATAAGTTCAGCGTTCCGGAGCATGTCCGCACTCAGAAGATGTCCAGATTTGCGAAGAAATTCCTGGTTTGGCAAGCCATCTGCACGTGCGGGAAGCGGAGTGCACCTTTCGTGACCCAGGACACGATGAACGGACAGGTGTACATAAAAGAGTGCCTCCAGAAGCGGCTGCTTCCTCTCCTGAAGGCCCACAACGTCCCAACAATCTTCTGGCCGGATTTGGCCTCATGCCACTACTCCAAGGACGTGCTGAAGTGGTATGCGGACAATAAGGTCAATTTCGTGCCGAAAATGTTCAACCCTCCCAACACTCCGGAGCTCCGCCCCATCGAGAAGTACTGGGCGATTATGAAGCAGCACCTTCTTAAACGACCTAAGGTAGTGAAGACAGTCGAGGAACTGAAGAAAGTATGGGTTTACATGCAAAAAACGGTTGATTCACAGGTTGTGCAGAATCTTATGGCCGGGGTTAAGGCCAAGGTGCGGGCATTTGCGTATGGACTGTAAATAAAATACGAGTAAAATGGTAAAATGAAGTTTAATAGTTATTTCTCAATCCCTGAAAATTTGATGGCAATCGGATGAAAACTCGAATTTTGCGAATCAATTTTGTGTGTGGCAATTTCATCGTGGACACCCTTTAGCTGGAGGAGGCTGTGTTCATTTCTTATAATATACTGTGGAAATAGGGTTGTTTCACCAGTTTTACCGAAACCAGTTTTAGCGGTAATACCGTGGCATTCTGCAATATCTAAATACCGGTTTTTAATCTTCTGAAAATTGGTAATTTCCGTAATATATATGTCCAACAGTTAGTGTGACAGTTCAATAAGAGCAATTATGAGGTTTACTTTAATTCTGATAGACTCTAGTAATCTACAAGTATCAAATTAAATAAATCAAAAAATCTTAAGTTTTAAGTTATTTCACTTGATGATTTTAAGCCACACAAACTGATAACATCAAAGCCATCACCAAACTTGTTTTTCATTGACAGTGTTGCTAGAAACCACAGAGAATATTTCAGAATCAATCGATTTAGTAATGTAAGCACCCAAACTAACTTTGGATGATGAAAAATCCAAGGTACATGAAAATTGAATATTCCGCGGATACGGCGTGCCTAAGAAACATCTAACAGAGGCAGTATCAGAGGACTAGCTTCAGTGACAAGAAAATTTCGGTATAAATTACTAACTCAAATCAAGCCTTTCCGGAAACTTTTCAAGCTGCTTAAAATCAAGCCCAAACCTATTCCCAACTCCTTGTTGATAGTAGTCATATTTTAACAGCTGCTGAAAAAGCAAATGCTCAATGTAACCATTCTCTCAATTCACACCTTTTGGGTAGCAGGATTGTAAGTCCGCTTGGAGATCTCGCATCTGAAACGGTCCGCAGTGTTGAAGTGTCTTCCAACATCTTCAAGGAGGAACATAGAGTGACGGTTAGTGAAGTGATAGCTGCAATCAAAGTATCTAAAAACATAAAGGTACCCGGTTTCGATATCATCCTTAACATCGAGCTCAAGCATCAGAGTGAAAACTCTCATCTTCATCTTACCTCAATTTTCAACAAGTGCTCGGGACTTGGCTACTTTCCACAATGTCATAACATAGCTAAAGTCACACCAATCCTAAAGCCAGGCAAAGATCCCACTTCCCCTAAGAGCAATCGCCCGATCAGTATCTTCTCGGCTCTTTCTAAACTTTTCGAAAGGATTATCCTCTCGCGACTGCTTTGCGTATTCCAACAACATCATTCAAAGGTAGGATAAGGAATGCTCCGAAGCAAATTGTGAGGAGTCCGCCGCGTTCAATCATGATTGCATTCTTCGAGCAATACACGGACCTTGAGAAAAAGTTCAAGAACTTTTCAAAACTAGCACGATTACTGGCGTCGATTTGTCGAAGGGCTATCACGAGATACGCGAAACGCGACATCGTCGGTCAACGAGGTAATGGAGTAGGTATTGGAACAGGTGAATTTTTGATTTCACGCGTTTGTTTGTCCTGATTCAGTGCTGATTCAAAACAGTGTTGGCGATCCTGCGTCGAATAGGGACGAAATAGGCTTCTCTTTCGGATACCTACCGCCTCTTTAACAACGCTTATGATATTGAGCAATTGCTTTTGAATAATTCATCTGAACATACCAAATCGTTAAGATAAGAATCTCCGAAATTATTTTAGTTTGGAATCTGACTTCTAGCGGTACACAGTGTTGGCAGAAAAAGTGATTTTTGGCATTTTAATTCAAACCATACATATTTGAACATTAATAACTTTTTTCAGAGACATTCTAGCACCGTACTTTCTTCGACAAACTTTTTCGGCACTTCCTAGACTATAATTTTACATGGTTATTTTCATGGTTCCAGCAAAGCTGTGGTCTCTAGGGATAAATATGCAAAAATTAGGTTATCCCATACTAATTTCCATACTAATTTCAAACGCAATCCGGAAACCCGGGTTACAACCAATCGTCCTAAAAATTTGAACAGTTGTTTGGGACCAAAAATGGAATCAATAAAGTCTAGACCAACAATTGATATGGCCTTAACTCCATTTTGTAAACAAACTTTGAAAGGCCATTTTCTCGCGAACCGAAACCTTCATTCGCAAACCTAAACCACAATCGGGTAGAGGAGAATTTTCCCTACACCCAACCGGTGGATGTAAGATTCGCT